CTCTCTCTATATATATACATGTATATACATATATTTATATGTATACATATGTGTGTATATATGTGTGTATCTATGTATGTATGTATAAATACATAAAGCCATTATATTGCAGAATATTAATCATTATTGTACGAATGATTTTTCTTCTTTTTTCCTTTTTCTTTTTAAACACTACTGACTTTGTTATTATGATTATTATTATTATTTTATCGTAAATCATTGTAATTAATATTATCATTATGATTAATATTCTTATTGCTAGTTTATGTAATTATCATCATAAGAGTATGTTAAAGCCGCGTGTAATTTTAATTAGCATATGATATTATCATTGGCGAAAGTAGATCCTCACTCTTAGCTAGGGATAAAATTAAGAAAATTGTATTCTTACTTTCTTCACGGATTGGATTCTACCTCACTTTTATCATTAATATCACTGAATGACGACAAATGAAAAAAAAAAAGAAGAAAAGAGCATGGAAAAATGAATAAAAACGAGGAAAAATGCAAGTGAAAAAAAAGAAAGAAGAGAAAAAAACGAGAGAGACGTCCTCCACGTACTTTTATATCCTTCCACTATTTAGCCGACGCGCTGGAGAAACACTTTCCGATCGGATCAAAGTGCTACTAACTAATACTACTGTTGTTATTAATTAGCGAATGTTGTTAAAACTGCAGCGACCTCAGCCTGTGATAGTTACAAAGGATATTATTTAAATTAAGAATGTGCTGTATTACGTGAAATGTAGAACATCGATCGGCGATAGCGTAAAGAGAGTCAAACTATGTCCGTATACGCGTTGCTATTGGATTTTTATAAGGAGGGCCTTGGGGGCCTGGAATCGAGATCATTACAATGCTTGTTAATTAAGACAACAAAAAAGAAAAGAAAAAAAAAAAGAACAAAACAAACGACCAAATGGTTTGAGAGAACGTTGCGTGTGGTTTGAGTATTATCGTCGATATTAGTGAGGTTTTTTTTGTAAAATTTCAATTTTCTAACGAGCTTTACGCTATGTAGCGCAGTACGTATATTAATACACGTTTTAACGTAAAATTTTGCTTTTATAATATAATTCACGAAGAAGGATAACTTTATTCACGGATCTGTGTTGCGTTCCCTCGAATTTAAATGACGGACGAACTATTTAAGAATCCACATTTTTCCTCGATCCGTACATGTATTATGTAATATGCTATACTTTGTAATTTTACCTATAATTGCATGTGATAATAGAGGAGAGAGTAGCCAGAGAGTATGTAAAGTTAAAACTGTAACGAGTGTCATCGAATGCTTTAAAGAAATACACGTAACAAACGCTGTGCGCTTGTGATCTTAAGGATTTACATTTTTTTTTCTTCTTTATTTTTAAATAAAAAAAAAAAACAATCTAATCCACTTGTTTCTTCTTTTCTTATGCATGTTCTGACATGTGAAAGGCTCGAAATAAACGAGTTTCTATACGGTATGTTCCTTTATTAGATAAAACATGCAAAGATCATTTATAATTAGCTGTAATATAATCGCCTGTAGGGCCTCGTAATGTTTTTTCATATATATGTATATATATACATATAATATGTATATGTATATATATTTATATATGGAGTTTCTCGAGGTCGCTGTAGTAATTCCTATTGCTGAGGTGAGGAATCACTTTCTCAGTTTTTTAGCTTACTCGAGGAGCGCCAACAAACAAGCAGATGTCGACTATTCTCGATGAATAAAAAAAACAAAATGCCAGAATGTACCCGCATAATTATCTTCGAATGGTGAAATGGCGATGATTGGGAACTGTACATTGTGATCAGCAAACAGACTACAATGTAGTTTGTTCTCGATTGAATGAACAAACAGAAACACTTGTGTAATAAAGTAGATATCCACAAAAAAAGTTGTCTGCATTTTTTATTTACCACACATTTTCTTAATAATTAAAGATTTTTGTATAGGAAAATTTGTAAAGGGAATTAAACACTTCTGTTTAGCATCTTTATTTTTGTCTTTTTTTCCTTTTTTCTCTTTAAATGGAATTATGAAACTTTAATAGGCTGAAATTAAAAAGTTTAGAAAAGGATATTTTCTGATATAAATATGAAGACATCACTACGTTTGAATTTTAATACATAAATATACA